TTGCTGTGTAGCTCAGGCTCACAGTGTCTTCCCATCTTGGCCTTCTGAGTGCTGGGATTGTAGGCATGTCCGCTTGTGGCTTCAGTGATATGTTCTTATTTTCTTTTCTTTTTTTTTTTTTTAAATCCATTTTCTCTTTCTCCCTCTGTGTGTGTGTCTGTGTGTCTTTTGTGAGGCTATGTGTATGTCAGTGCAGGTACCTGCAGAGGCCAGGGATGTCAGATCCCCTGAGGCTGGAGTTGCAGGTGCTTGTAGGCCACCCTGCATGGATGCTGGGAACTGAACTTGGATGCTTTGCAAGGGCAGTAAGTGCTCTTAACCATTGAATCATCTTTCCAGCTTCTTAAAACTGTTTTTAATAGTGTGCTCTTCTCTGAGTACATGTAATTTTATAGAAGATAATGTCTTCTAACTAATGCCAGTCACTTTTTAAAAATTGTTTTTATTGAGCTATGCATTTTTCTCTGCTTCCCTCCCTTCCTACCATCTCCCGTGGTCCCCATGCTTCCAATTTACTCAGGAGATCTTTCTTGTCTTTTTCTATTTCCATGTAGATTAGATCCATGCGTGTCTCTCTTAGGGTCCTCATTGTTGTCTAGGTTCTCTGGGATTGTGAATTAGAGGCTGCCTTTTTTTTTTTTTTTTGCCAAATTTCTGAAAGCTACTTATGAGTGAGTATGTATGACATTTGTCTTTCAGGGTCTGGGTTACCTCACTCAATATGATGCTTTCTAGATCTATCCATTTGCCCGCAAATTTCAAGATACCATTATTTTTTTCTGCTATGTAATACTCCATTGTGTAAATGTACTACATTTTCCTTATCTGTTCTTCAGTCGAGGGTCATTTAGGTTGTTTCCAGGTTCTGGCTATGACAAATGATGCTGCTATGAACATAGTTGAGCACATGTTCTTGTGGTATGATTGAACATCCTTTGGATATTTACCCAAAAGTGGTATTGCTGGGTCTTGAGGTAGGTTGTTTTCTAATTTTCTGAGAAATTGCCGTACTGAAATCCAAAGCAGCAGGGCTGGAGAGATGGCTCAGAGGTTAAGAGCACTGACTGTTCTTCCAGAGGTTCTGAGTTCAATTCCCAGCAACAACATGGTGGCTCACAAACATCTGTAATAAGATCTGGTAACCTCTTCTGGTCTGTAGGCACACATGCAGGGAGAACACTGTATACATAATAAAATGAATCTAAAAAAAAAAAAAGAAAGAAAAAGAAAAAAGAAATTCAAAGCTGCTGTACCAGTTTGCACTCCCACCAGCAATGGAGGAGTGTTCCCTTTACCCCAGTCCTCTCTGCCAGTCAGTTTTTAAGATGTTTAAGGGGACAGACTTTTACACTGTGTGGCACTAGCTCAGGTTCATCTGTAAACTCAGATGGGAAGCTGTTCTCCAGATGATCCCCGCCCTGAATGCTCTTTTTCCTCTAGCCATGTCCAGGTAGATACACTCAGAGAGCTGGCTGCATCGGGCACTTAGCTGTGTGCTCGCTGAGCAGTCTCTAGTATGATAAGTTCTTGCTGTTAATAATGGATGTGCTTACCAAGAAAACAGCAAGGAGTCTTTTATCAAATTCGTTTCTTTGCTGTGTGTGGGAGTCTTGCTTCCTGCCCTTGATCACTTGTGAAATGCTGGTGACCACTGTTTCTTAAAATTCTTCCTTCTCTTATTGAGCACATTCTTTTTCTTTATTTAATACAGAAAGTATCTGTTTACCAAAACAACTAAAATAAGATTAAAATAAAATAAAACACCCCATCTGACTCATTCCTAGGTATCACTGTTGGATACATTGTTTGGAGTGTTTTTACTTGCTTTAAAAGTTTCCCCTTTTATTTAAAAAAAAAATGAAAACCAATCTATCCTGACTTACTTATTCTGTACTCCCCCCACCCCCCTTTTTGGTTTTTCGAGAGAGGATTTCTCTGTGTATCAACCCTGGCTGTCTTGGACTTGCTTTGTAGACCAGGCTGGCCTTGAACTCACCTGCTTCTTTCTGCCTCTGCTGGGACTAAAGGTGCAGTACCACCCACTTTACCTCCTACTCTTGACCTGGGGAACTCCCTTAATTCCCAGACTCCTGCGGTTCTCATCACATAGCCACACCCATTTCTTTTGAATTTCTTACCATTCCCAGTTAGGTCAGTACCCCTTTGGACTCACCGGGCAGGTTCTTGCCCTCCTGAGTCTGTCCTTGCTCCCTCGACTGGGAATGTCCCTGCCCATGTGTCCATTCCCTGATATTTTCTCCACTTCTCAGGACTGCTCAGCTGTGTGGTGAGAAGCACGGTTGCCCATTGTTCCTGTGCATCGCTCGTATTGCTCCATCATGACATGCTCATACACACCCATTGTTGCCTGATCTTAAAGCCCACTCCGCGCTGGAGCGGGCATCCTGCCGAGGGTGATTGTAAAAGAACCGTTAGGGAGGAGTGAACTTCGCATTGACAGTAGTGTGTGATGCGAAGACCTTGGCCTTTAAAACTTAGAGATCAGAACTAGTAAGTGTTCAGCCTGGATGTTGAACTCCTTCCTTCTGCTAGGAGGGCTAGGTAGAGCCTGCCTCTTGATAGTACGAATGACTCTTGTTAATACATAGAGCAGGGCTACTGGTGGCCTGGGACCCTCTACTTCTGGGAGCGATCCTGCCCTTCTTCCCAGACAGGCAGCCTGTGTCTGTGCTGCAGGCCAGGCATTACTGTTTACACCCGGTTTCAATGGCAAACTAGTGTGGCTACTGGGATTAAAGATGTATGTTGCCATTCCCTGGTCCGTAAGGCTGACCAGTGGGGCTGTTTTACTCTCTGATCTTTAGGCAAACTTTATTTATTAAAATACAAATGGAATGCCACTACAAAATTAACTAACTAATTTGCTAGTGTTGGGTAGTGAACAAAGGGCTTCACACATGGTAGGTTTGCACTCTGCCAACTGAGCTCTAGCCTCCCCCAGCTGCTGAGATTGAATTTTTATACTTTGTACAGTTATCTGGAGATTGATCTAGACTGGACATTTTGTACCCCAGCTTCCTTTAGCTGATGAAGGCACCTGCATTGTGTCTAGTTTGGGGCTATGAGAATAAAGTTGTTATGATGTTCCTGTACCTGCTTTTTCTTAAGGTAGGTTTTCATTTCCCTCGAGTACCCAGGAGTGCTTAGCTTTGAAGAAGCTGCTAGTTTCCCTAGTGCTGGTCTGTTGACATTGGCAAGAAAGTGTGGGTGAGCTGGGCAGTGGTGGCATGTGCCTTTAATCCCAGCACTTGGGAGGCAGAGGCAGGCGGATCTCTGTGAGTTCGAGACCAGCCTGGTTTACAGAGTGAGTTCCAGGACAACCAGAGCTACAGGGAAATCCTGTCTCGAAAAGCCAAAAAGAAAAAAAGAAAACAAGTGTGGGTGAGCCGTTCACTGTCCATTGTGAAATGCAGCTCTTGATTTTTATTTTTATTTTCTTTTCCAAGCTTCCCTGTTTCTTGTCTGGTTTTGTTTTTTGTTTTTGTTTTTTCTTTTTTCTTTTTTTTTTTTCCAGGGCTGGGGATTGAATCCAAGGCCTCCTGAATGCCAGACATGCATTCTACCACTCAGCTACATTCCTAGCTCCTAGGTGGTTTTTTGAGACAAGGTCTCACATTGTAGCCCAGGCTGGCCCTGAACTCCAGTGGATCCTGAGTGCTGGATTCATAGGTGTGCACCAGCTCTCTAGTCTGCTTTGTTGGTGCCTTTTCTCTTTTCTTTTCCTTCCCTTTCTTTCTTTCTTTCTTTCTTTCTTTCTTTCTTTCTTTCTTTCTTTCTTTCTTTCTTTCTTTTGTAGCAGTGTGTGCTACTCTTGTGTCTGTCTGTTTCTCCTGCTCTCCCTGGGGTAAGGCGGAATTTCCCTTGCCTTTTCACTTTGGGTCATTAGTCCTTTCGATGGTTTGGGCACTCAGAAGGTCATTCCCCAAGCTTTCTCAAAACCTGCTCGTGAACAGTCAGTCTTCTTCCACTTTCTGAAGTGTTAACCCCTGAGCGCCTGCTCCTCCCTCGCAGAGCTGCGCCCTGCCTGTCTCCAGGCCCTGGCTGCACAGGGTTTCTGTAAGGCTTAGTGTTTTCTCCTTGAACTTCCCTTCCTGTGTCCTCGTCCCCTGCACCCTGACTTGACTCTGCTTTTCTAGTCTGCTGCCCTGTCTCCCCACCCCCACCCATAAGTACAGAGTTATCTGACTTCTCTGCCAGGCGACGGCTTTCTTGCCAACTGTCAGTGATACCACCACCGGCTCTCTTTTGTGCGGCTAATGCAGGTTCTTGCCCTCCGCATAGCAGTAGCGTGCTCGCCACCTGCTGGGCACACTTGCTCTCATCTCAGAAGCCCTGGGCTGCTGTTTCTTACTGCTCTTGCTGGTTTCTCTGCTTTGCAGACTCTTCACAGTTGCCGCACAGGAAGACTGCCCCCTCTCCCGGTGATCTCTCAGACCTCTTCCTTGGCTGCCTCCCACAGTCTGTACGCAGGCACACGTCCCCTGCGCTCTAGACTGTCTCACCATTTGCCTCCAACTATGCCTCTGCCTACCTCTCTCCCTGACTCTTTCGTTACAGCACAACAACAGCAACAAAAAGTTTGCGGTGCATTGTGGCACTCAGCTTCCTCTTCTTCTAAAAGCCCTTTTTTTGGTGGAGGGGCTGTTACAACACTTTCATTGAGTCTGTCTGACACACAGTCATTAACTGGTGTATCCCTTTAAGGCAAGAGGACTGTCAGTTCCGTTAATCAAGTTTGTCCACGAATCTTGTTTGCCCCAGCCTCTACTTTATAAATATTGAGTAAACAAAGAGTGGGTTTAATTTTTCTTAGGAGGGGTGGTCTCACAGCCTTGGCAAGGCTGGCCTTGAACTTTTGTTCCTCCTGCGTCACCCACAGGACTGGGTTTATAGGCCCATGCCACCAGGCACAGCCTGCATGTAGTTTTGATTGTCATGGGTTCTCTGAATCACTGAGGTCAGTTGGTTTCCTTTTGTAGCTGCTGTCTTTGCTGGCCTTTATCTGTGAAGAGGTCGTGTCCGAGTGCACGTTGTGTGGAGGCTTGTACTTCTTTGAGTTTGTGAGCTGCAGCGCCTTTCTCCTGAGCCTCGTCCTGCTGACCGTGTACTGCACACCAGTGCATGACAGAGTGGATGCTGGGAAAGTCAAGTCGTCGGTAAGTGGGGAAGACAGCCCGAGTCAGGGCGCGCGTCTGCCAGTCGTCCTGGTTCATTGGTACAGCGGTGATGCTTTCAGAGCAAAGCACCGGGAAGAGTGGTGTCCATGTTCTAGCTCTCTGCATCCTGGCAACTCGGGCGCCACTTCACTGACGGAGACAGGAAATGAGTCTAGAATGAGAGGGAGAGGCTTCACCTAATTCATGTTAGACATTTCAATGTTGTTTGCTTTAACACAGGGTCTTACTAGCCCAGACTGGTCTTGAACCTGTGATCCTCCTGCCTCAGCTTCTGAGTGCTGGCATTGTAGACTTGGGCCACTATGCCTTACTTAAACATTTTTTTAGAAGTTTGGTTTTGTCACTCTTTGTTTCTTACATTTTAGAGTGTCATTCATTGGCTGTGTAGTTAGGAATTATGTGCCTGCTCCCTACCAGGCACCGTGTGCTGGACACGCAGTGGTAGAAATAAGCATAAAACTACCAGACAGAAGTTGAGCTCAGTAGTAGTGTTTGCCGAGCATTCACAAGGCCATAGGCTCACTCCCCAGGAATACCAAAAAAAAAAAAAAAAAAAAGGGAAAAAGAAAAACCAGATCAAAACTGAAAAAGAGTTAGTTATGGTGGCACATGACCTAGTGTTAAGGAAGCAGCGGCAAGTGGTTAGATCTCTGTGAGTTCAGGCCAACCTGGTCCACACATTGAGCACAGACCACCCAGGGCGACATGGTGACACCCTGTCTCAAAAAATATTTTTTTTTTTTTTTGTGATACACAATTATGTTCAACTTAAAGTTGATAGCGTTTGCATGTAGACGTGTTGAAAAGGTACCAGGCTGGCATGTTTAAATTTGGGTTGCACCAAGAATGTGTAAGTCATTCAAGGGTTTTCGAAATTCAAACTGTTAAACTTTGTGTCTGCCTGTCTAACCTGCTGTGTTCTTGTTTCCTCTGCCCCTGTAGGATTTCTGTATCACCCTGGGAACAGGGTGTGTGTTTCTCTTGGCATCTATCATTTTTGTTTCTACCCACGCTGGGACCTCAGCTGAAATCGCTGCAATCGTGAGTACTTTGCATTTTTAACCTTCCTTATTTTTGTTTCCTTAGATATAGAGGATTTAGGGGCTGGAGAGATGACTCCTCAGTTAAGAGCACTGGCTGCTCTTCCAGAGAACCCAGGTTCAGTTCCCTGCACCCACATGGCAGCTCACAACTGTCTGTAATTCCAGCTCCAGGAGATTCAACAACCTCATTCAGATATACATGCAGGCAAAATACTAATGCACATAAAATAAAACTAAATAAATCATTAAAAGAAAGAAATAGAGAATTTAGAAAGTTCTTGATAAGTTCTATACAAGAGTAATAATTATTACTTATTTATATTCATGATGCGTGTTTGTGAGGTGGGCACCTGTGTGCTGTGATCTATGTGGAGGTAAGGGATGATCTTCAGGTTGGCCCTGTCTTTTTTCCTTGTTTGAGACAGTTTTTCCACTGCTGTATAGCCAGGCCAACCAGCCCACTAGTTCCTACCCCTCCTTTTTGAGATAGGGTCTCACTGTGTAGCCCTGGCTGGCCTAGAACTCAAAGAGATCTGAGTGCTGGGATCAGTGGCATGAGTCATCTCACCTGGCCCCATTAGCTTCTTGGAATGTCCGATTTCCACTTCCCATTTCCTGTAGGTGTTCCGTCTGCTTTTAATACTGTGTCTGACTTTTACATGGGCTCTGGGATCTGAACTCAGATCTTCAGGTTTGTGTGCCAAGCACTTTACCCCACTGAGCCATCTCCCCAGCCTGAGAGTAGTTTTTCTTCTACTTTTAAATGTAATATTGAATAGAAAACCTAAAAGTAAACAAATACGGTAGTCTTAAGAACCTAGGACTGAATTTGACTGAATTTTGTTATCAAAGTTTACTTTATCCTACATATAAACAAGTGTCTGGTAATGCAAGTGGCAAGAGCCTTTGTTATACAGTTTTTGTTTTTTTGCCCTGTAGTACTGCTTTAGTGCAGAGGTACTCCCGAGAAAAGGCTTGCAGGCTTAGCCCGGCAAGTTGTGATGGAGTGTTTGAGTGAACCAACAGAAGTTGTTCTTCTTCTGATCTGCTCTTCAGTTTTCCTTTGAGTACTTATTTTACTTTTTGTTTTTCTTTTCTTTTTTTTCTGTCTTTTTTTATCTTCTTATTGTTTGTTTGTTGCAATACTGGGGATTGAATTTAGGGCCTCATACATGCTAGGCAAGTATGTTTTTTTAAAGATTTATTTATTATGTATACAATATTCTGCCTCCGTGTATGCTCACATGCCAGAAGAGGGCACCAGATCTCATTACAGATGGTTGTGAGCCACCATGTGGTTGCTGCGAATTGAACTCACGACCTCTGGAAGAGCAGCCAGTGCTCCTAACCATTGAGCCATCTCTCCAGCTCCCCCCCCCCTTTTTTTTTCCGAGACAGGGTTTCTTTGGAGCCTGTCCTGGAACTTGCTCTGTTGACCAGGCTGGCCTCGAACTCACAGAGATCCACCTGCCTCTGCCTCCTAAGTGCTGGGACTAACGGAGTGAGCCCCCACCACTGCTGGGCATTATCAACCATTCTTAACACTAGTACTGTGGAGCCGGGCAGTGCTGTGGCACATGCTTTTAATCCCAGCAGGCAGATCTCTGTGAGTTCGAGGCCAGCCTGGTCTACAGAGCTAGTTCCAGGGCAGGCTCCAAAGCTGCAGAAAACCCTGTCTCGAAAACCTGAACCACAAAACAAAACAGAAAACCAACTGGTCCTCTCTGTGGAGTCGACCAGCTCTCACATCCTCTGCCGCACGCTGTGAAAACATGCTTGCCTGTCCCAAACTTGCTTCGGTGTGACACTTTGAGTTGTAAAACCCTTTGAGACAACGAAGGGTTGTTCAGTGAAGAGATAGTTATTTGAATCCTTTGGGCCAAGGGTTGTGGGTTTTGTTTTTTGTTTTTGTTTTTGGAGACTGTGTAGTCCTGGCTGTTCTGGAACTCACTCTGTAGACCAGGCTGGACTCAAACTCAGAGATGCGCCAGCCTCTGCCTCCCAAGTGCTGGAATTAGAGGCATGTGCTACTATACCTGGCCCCCTTTATAAATGTGGGTTTGAGGAGATTGAATTCGGTGCTCATGCTTGCAAGGCAAGAATTTAACTGACGGAGTTATTGCCTTAGCCCTGAAACTACATTTTAAGATAGAACAATACAAAAGGTGTTCAGAGTGCTGAAAGATGGGTCAGCATGGAAAGCTGATTCTGCTGAAGACCCAGCTTCAGTTTCCAGTGCCCACATCGCAGCTCAAAACTATCCATAGTTCCAGAGGATCCAACTCCCTGCAGCACCAGGCACCCATACAGGCAAAATACTCAGATGCAGAAAAGAAAAAAAAAAAGTAAAATCTTTAAAAAGAAAGCTTTGAGAGAATTGCAGACGTTACCTTGCCAGCCTGGTTTGTAAGGGGATGGACAGATACAGTCAGGCCTCCAAAGGGGAACGGCCCATGTTCGGTAGAGAGTTTATAAATTAGTTTGTGTGGGCTGTGCTGCGCACATACAGGAAATGAATGGTGCAGAGCCCGGTTTACTGTGTGTGTTCTCCGGGGTGGAGGAGGGGTTGAGGAACCGAAGTCAGAGACTCTGAGAGATGACCAGTCATCATGGAAATGTGAGCCAGGTGTGGGATTGCCGACAGTCCTAGCATCCTGGAAACTGAGGCCAGCTACCTAGGAAGTCACCCCCCCCCCCCCCCCCCCCCCTCAGCACAAAGTCATGGAGGAGGCTGGGGTTGCAAGAGATTTGGTGCTGTTTTCTTCCTGTTTTGTCTCCACTTCCTCAAGGGTTTTGCTAGTGAGGAAGCTAAATTTGAAGCATGGTCTTTTGTCTCTTGACAGAATTCTCAGAGTGTTTGGTCATATGTTAGAATAATACAATGAGGAAGTGATTTAGGGAAGAGGAAGTAGGTAGTGACATCATGTCCCTGGGTGACAAGTAACTGGAAAATGTATTTTAGGTCATTTAACCCAGTAGAGTTTAAAAAATGGAGTTTTTCTTTAGGTATGAATAGCTTTATCTGTCTCCACCTAACCTGGTTGCAAATCACGTTTCCCCTAACACATCTGTGGGTCAGTGAAGCCCTTACTAATAAGCATGTGTTTGATACCATTTTGTGGAATTTCCTTTATCACTGAACTGAGTCTCATTGATGGACAGTCCACAAAGGCTCCTGCATACATGTCAGGTATAGCAGAGGCTGAGACGGTTCAGCTAGTAATGCTGGCCACCACCACAGGGACTTGACCTTGAATCCATTGAAAAGGCCGGAAACAGGGGTGGCCTTCCTTTCACAAGTTTTGGGGTGGGGTGCTCTAAGGTAAAATACGGCTCCACTGGAGGAACGTGGGATTTGTAGAACATTGATAAGTAAGTAAGTAGATGCTTCAAGGCCAGTTTGGGCTGGTAGGCTGCAGGGTGGTGTGTCTGGATCCCTTCCATGCTACCTTGACTCCCAAAGTGGCCAGGTCTTAAAGCAGCAGGTCCAAGTTTTGCCTTTTCAGACTGAGGTGGAGGGGAGAGGCCTAGGGGATTGAGATGTTGCCTGGGGTTTGTCCTGCTGCCGTCATGTGTAGGTACTAGGGTTGAGACCTCTTGAGAAAATCGCAAGTGTTGATGTGTCTGTGGATAATAGGATAGGGGGGGGGGATCTCCATATGTGTGTGTGGGGGGGGGTATTTTGTTTTGTTTCTGAGACAGGCTTTCTTTGGTAGCTCAAGCACCTCAGCTCTGTAGAACAGACTGGTCTCAAACTCATGGAGATCCCCCTGCCTCTGCCTACCAAATGCTGGGATTAAAGGTGTGTGCTACCACCACCCGGCAAGTGGGGGGACCTTCTTAATGACTAGACGGATTTTTCATCTTGAGGCAGTCATAGAAAGAGATAGCCGTGTGGCTTTAGGCACCCCTGTCCGTATGGTGACTTGCTAGCCTCTGAGTCAGGAGATAGGAGATAGACATTCAGCCCAGTGTGTGTATGTGTGTGTGGGGGGGGAGACTGGGTCAAAGGACTGTTGTAGCACGAATTCCAATTGGTCTTAATAATAAAAATCCGGAACCAGATTTCAGGGTAAATGCTGAAAGATCAGAGAAGTCAAGGAGCCAGCCACTAGAGAGACCCTTTACCTCTACCAAATCCTCAGGCCAAAATGGGCAAGATCCTGTCTCCACGAATCCTCAGACTGAATGTAATGCACTCCTGCTCCTCCTGCCTTATATTCCTCTCTCCACCCAGCCGTATCCCTTCCTATCTCTACCTTCCTAGTGGTGGGATTAAAGGTGTGTGCCACCACTGCCTGGCCTCTATGGTTAACTAGTGGCTTAGCTCCACACTCTGATCTTCAGGCAAGCTTTATTTGTTAAATCACAAACAAAATATCACTGTCTTACTTGCAGCCAGCGAAATGTTGAGAGTTATGGTAAGCTGCAGGGTGAGGGATCTAAACGTCCGGCCTTGGTGCCTCCTTAAAAGTCTTGTCTGGTAAAGCAGAGGGCTATGTGGGCCACCAAGGAAGCATTGTGGTAGATGTGCCTGACAATGGGCGTTCTTGAGTTGTAAGCTTGGAAAATTGGGACATATTCTGGATATAGGTAGCCTATAAGTCTGAGGCTTCTGCCAGAATAGCAGTGTCTAGAACCAGAGTGAGTCTCTGCAGATCAGCACCGGACAGGAATAAGAGAAGCACCTCTCTAATGGAGACCACACAGGCACGGGAAGCTAAAAGGGTAAAGGAAGGGGAGGAGCTCGTTGTTGTGAGAGTGGGTCAAGGTTCCAGGGATAAATAGAGAACACAGTTTCATCTAGAAAGTTCATAGAGCTCCCTTGTAATCAGCAGTCAGCTATGCCAGGGACAGCAAGGGCATCATTATGGTCAGTGTGGCTGGTCACCAGCTCTCAGTGAGGAGAGTTTGAAGGAATTCTTTCCCGTGTTAGAGAGGCAGGTAGGACTGTGGGAGGAAATGGCCTTGTCTGGTTGATTTTTGAATATGAGTTTGGGGTCCTTGAGGAGGTCAGAGGGCTGTGGGGTTGCTTTGAGAGCTTTTCTTCAGGGGTGGAGCCTGGTTTTAACATAGTCTGTGAGCCTGCTTTAACCTGGAAAAATGAATTCAAAAGCTAAGACCCAATAATTCAGCAGCAGATGGGGTGAAGGGCCAAGAGGGTTAGCAGGGCTTAGAGGTGAAGATTTTAAAGTAGAATTTGTTCCCCAAGAGGATGGGGAGAGGTGGTGAGTCAGAGGAAGGCTTCGGTAGCTGGTTGTTAGCAGTGTGCCTTAGAATGTCAGGTGTGTGATGTGGGAAGGTCATATATCTATCTGTTGCTTTCATTGGTTAATTAATAAAGAAACTGCTTGGCCTGATAGGTCAGAACATAGGTGGGTAGAGTAAACAGAATAGAATGCTGGGAAGAAGGGAAGTGAGGTCAGACACGATGGAGCCAGCCACCAGGTCAGACATGCTGAATCTTTCCCGGTAAGCCACCACCTCATGGTGCTACACAGATTATTAGAAATGGGTTAGTCAAGATGTGAGAGTTAGCCAGTAAGAGGCTAGAGATAATGGGCCAGGCAGTGTTTAAAAGAATACAGTTTGTGTGTTGTTATTTTGGATAAAGCTAGCCGGGAGCCAGAAGCCGGGCAGCGGGAGACGGCCCACAGGTCCCTTCTACAGGTGTGTGAGAACGCGGCTATGTGGGGAAGGGAGAGTCACTTAACACAGGAGCCTCATATGCCTGTCAGAAAGGACTTAGGCTGAGTGGAGCTTGGGGCTGCTCCAGGCATTCACCTTTGCTGGTAAGTTCAGTGCTTGTGTGTAAGGCCGTTCATCTCTCTGCTCTACATAACAGTGGAGGTCTGTTTAGCACTGTGACTTCCAGGTGGCGTGGTGAGCTTTGCAGGCTCCCTGTCTGACTTTAGATGTGTATGCGGGGCCGTTGTCAGTTTGTATGGTGGCTGGGGACTTTAAGGTATCCATTACTACGTCAGTTGCCTTGGATGTGTGATGGAGAGCTTCTGCCCCTTCAGAAGGGCCAGGACTGGCACATGTGTGGTCTTTTAATAGATGCCATCTGAGCAACAACCTGCCAGTCTGGGCCAGAGGTTTGTTCTCTTGGAGCCCCCCCTCCCCACTTTCCCACACCCTCAAGGTCACACAGCTCTCCCCCTTTCTTTCCCTCGCCACACAAGAGTCAGGGACAACTTGACTCTAAGCATATACCATGGACTGTTGTTCACCCACATGGCAGAGAACTGACCTCTTCTGAAACCTACAGGGAGGCCCCCACACTCTGTCTTATAGGACTGTACTCTTCTCAGAGTCCCCGTCTCTCTGTGGCATTCGTGCCTCCTTAGACCCCAATGTCTGAGACCTGTCAGGTGGGCCCTTCTTGGAAGCTGTTCCTTTTCTTCAGAAGAGGCCTTAAAAGACAGCAGCTAGGAAGGAAGATGGGTGTGTAGCTTGAAGTTCAGCCTTCATGTCAGCCTTGTGTGTCCTGGAACTCACTCTGTAGACCAGGCTGGCCTCGAACTCACAGAGATCTGCCTGCCTCTGCCTCCCGAGTGCTGGGATTAAAGGCGTGCGCCACCACAGCCCGGCCGCTTAGGAATTCTTAGTGTCCCTTGTAGTGGCGGGTAGCTGCTGGATGAGATGTGTTTGGTGGTGTCGGGTAGAAGTTTGGATGGGGACTTCTGCAGTAGCTCTGAGAGAGAGGAGCAGGGAGACTAGGTCTGTCCTGGGCCGCCATCTCTTCCAGTATAGACTAGGTCTGTCCTGGGCTGCCGTCTCTTCCAGTGGTAGCTCCTAAGCTCGGAACCGGGTCTGCAACTCCGGTAGCACTCTTGCTGAGCATGCAGCAGCACTGGATTCTGTGCCTGGCACCACACAACAAAAGAGCTGCGTTGTTACCTCGTGGGACTTTGAGTAGTACTGTTACTCTGGACATTTTTCTTTTGTCACTTCTTTTCCTCATTCAGTGGCTTTTAAATTCTATTGAAGAATACTAAGTGTGGGGCTAGAAGAATGGCTTAGCAGCTCAGACACTCACTGCTCTTCTAGAGGACCACCAGAGTTTGGTCCCCAGAACCCATATCAGTGGTGCTATCCCACCTCCAAGGGACCCTGGGTTCTCTTTAGGCCTCCAAAAGAACCCACAAACATGTGGCATTTGCTCCCCAGACAAATACATACACAGAGATAAAAATGAACATCTTTTTTGGAAAGTAGTTAGAGGGTGGAACGGCTATGAACTCTTGGGCTGAGTAGGACACGTGGTTACAACCTGCACTTCCTCCACAGGTGTTCGGGTTTATGGCGAGTCTGGTGTTCCTAATTGACTTTGTCGTCATGCTGCATGAGAGACGGCAGGAGAGCCAGCTGAGGAAACCTGAGAACAACGCCAGGGCTGAAGCCCTCACTGAGCCACTGAATGCTTAAAGCTGGAGCACGTATTGCGGACCAGAAGAGAGCATCTTCCATGTGACCAGTGTCATGTGTGCTCCTCTTTTGGAGAGAAGGGAAGGACAGGAGGGCAGCTTCTCAGTGCTGGACTGAGTGGCAGCCCCTCCAGTTAGCTCAGAGGGTTTTTAATAACGGTTGGAACTCGTTTCAAATGGAGGAGGTTTGTTATTTGTTTATTTTTAAAGACAGGACTGTTGCCTTTGAATTGCATGTCTGTCATTTGCTACAGGTCAGCCCTCACCAGGCCTGGCTTCCAGACCGTGTGTTCTCCGTCCTTTCAGGAACTCTTGCATTTTAAAATCATTCACTTTGCTGTTAGTTTTTGATAGTTAAGTTCTGTTCTGATGTTGGAGATTTAATTTGTATTTAAGTTGTTGGTATGGGCGTTTTTCCTTAATATATGATCCTTGTATTTACTGTATCTTGTTCAACCGTATGTTATGTGCTAACCTTTCAAGGCAGTTATTCTGAATTCTTTCTGATCCATGCATTGCCTAACAGAAAATGCGTGGGCTGCTGGTGTTTTATGTGTACAAAAGCAACAGTATCAAAGCCTTGTGCTTTTTAGATTGCACTCTGGTTGTTGAAATTAAGTTTAAAAGAAAAAAAAAGATTGTTATGGAATGCAGAAAAACTGAAGAAATTGATACTACATCTAGAGACCAAAGATAGAGTAGACTCTTTGTCCTGTACAGTGGATGTAACTGTACAGATAGGCTGGACCACTGGGGAGAGATGTGAAGGGTCATGCTGTGCACACACGGAAACAATTGATGCCTGCTGTGTGCACACGGAAACAAACAGTTGATGGTGTCTGTGTTGTGTGCACACGGAAACAGTTGATGGTGTCTGTGTTGTGTGCACACGGAAACAGTTGACGGTGTCTGTGCTATGTGCACACGGAAACAGTTGATGGTGTCTGTGTTGTGTGCACACGGAAACAGTTGACCATGTCTGTGCTGTGTGCACACGGAAACAGTTGACCGTGTCTGTGCTGTGTGCACACGGAAACAGTTGACCGTGTCTGTGTTGTGTGCACACAGAAACAGTTGACCATGTCTGTGCTGTGTGACATGGAAACAGTTGACGGTGTCTGTGCTGTGTGCACATGGAAACAGCTGATGGTGTTCATTCTGTGAGCTGGACACTGGGTCCCCTCCTGGCAGATGGTCATTTCTTCTCAAGTGAGCATCGCTCTGTAGGCTTCTCTTAGAGTCCTGGGCTGGGTTTGCTCACTAACCCGAAATGCCTTTCCTGACTTTCTAGATGGTCCCTGTGCTGCGTCACCATCCGCCAAGGGAGCCGCCACTCTTGCTCTTTTCCTTTTTCACTCAGATTCACTGTCAACCCTCTCCAGGCCGTCCAGACTCTGTGCCCTTCTTATCACCAAAAGTCCGAGGTAGGAACCCCTGCTGGTGAATACTGTTGGTGATGCTGGAAGCCACAGGCTGCTCCTGACACTTTGGAAGGGTTGCTTGTTGCTGTAGGGGTACCTTAGAGCCACTGGGGCACCTTTGTGCCCAAAGGGGATCTTTCTTATCTTCCTTCTGGGGTTTGACTGAGACTCAAGTATGTCAAGGCCTTCTGTGCCCTGGTGGAGGTTTCCCAGGCTGGCGTTTCTCCCTGAAGACGTGTGATTATGTTCCCAGGGATTTACTGTAAAGTTTCCCTCCTTTTTGGTTTCCTATCTGCCACTGTGTGTGTTCGATGATTTTGGTTACAAGCGTACAGCAGTTGTAGTTCTCAGACGGGGATGAATCTGGGCACACAGCTTCTACTCTTTCTTACTCACTGCCTGATCTGCTGGCATCATACCTTCTTGATCATGAAACCAATCATGGATGTTGGCCTGCCATCTAAGAGAAGGGGGGGAGGTAGGTTCTTGAAACCAAGAATAAAATAATTCTAAAGGAACCAGTTTATAGCAGACAGTTTTTAGAATTTCACATCAGGCTATGCTGTAGTCACTGGAAATACTGTCCAGACCTATGGAGAACTAACAGCAAATCAAGGCAATGTTAGTGTTACAAACCGTTAGTCAGCTGTCTGCTACTCTAACAAAATACCTGAGACAGTCAACTTAAAAAGAAGAAGCGTTAGGGCTGGAGAGATGGCTCCGAGGAGGAGGTTACGAGTGCTTCTTACTTCTCTGCAGAGGACCTGAGTTCTCTCCAGCGTGCACATGAGTGCCTGCCAGGGGATCCAGTGTCTTTGGTCTCTGGCACCCAGACATGCATGGCATACATTCACACATACATACATAAATTAAAGTAAATATTAAAAGTTAAAAAAAAGAAAAAAGAGTTATCTTGGTTTGTAGTTTTGTAGGCTTCAGCCCATGGTCAGTCTGTTGTCTTAGATGGCAGCGCATCATGGTGGGGGTCTGTGGTAGAGCATCCAGGAAGCAAGGAAAGAGTGAGTGTGTCTTGAGATCCCGTGTTCTCTTTGGAGGGTATGCCCCCAATGACCCAGGAACTCACACTAGGCCCCGCCTCTAAAGGTTTCTGACACCTCTCGACAGTGCCATCCTGGAGAACTGGCCTCTGATATTCAGGGCCTGGGGACAACTCACCTCATCAGTGCCCCTCTCTGCCCGTGTTTGGCTTCTTCAGGAGAGACAGACACTCTGGCCTGGCTCCACACATGCAGCAACTTAGCATCCGTGGGTTCGTGGGTTTGCTCTGTGCCGCGGCTGAGGGCTTCCTCAGCTACTTCTTTCTTTCTTTCTTTCTTTCTTTCTTTCTTTCTTTCTTTCTTTCTTTCTTTCTTTCTTTCTTTCTCTCTCTCTCTCTCTTTCTTTTCTTTCTCTCTCTCTCTCTCTCTTTCTCTCTCTCTCTCTCTCTCTCTCTCTCTTTCTTTCGTGTTCTCCCTGCATGTCTGCCTGCAGGCCAGAAGAGGGCACCAGATCTCATTACAGATGGTTGTGAGCCACCATGTGGTTGCTGGGAATTGAACTCAAGACCTTTGGAAGAGCAGGCAGTGCTCTTAACCTCTGAGCCATCTCTCCAGCCCCCCCTTTCTTTCCTTTTAAGATAATTTGTCACAGCCTGGTCTACAAGAGCTAGTTCCAGGACAGGCTCCAAAACCACAGAGAAACCCTGTCTCGAAAAACCAAAAAAAAAAAAAAAAAGATAATTTGTCACTTGTATCTGTTGTCATTCTTGGAACTTTCTCTTTTGGGGGACCTGTGCTTGGCTTCTGCCTTCCCTGGGGGGAGATGGGGTTAAAGACTGTGGCACTAATAAGCTCAAGAGCTGGGACCAGAGGTCGCCGGGCAGAAAAGACGCCTTCATTTACAGCTGTGGAAAATTTGATTTGCTGTATTTTATACAAATTGTTTGGAATGGTTTTTAAGACTTAGAAGGGAAATATACTACAGCACAAGACTTTTATAATTACTATACTTAAATTATGCTTTATGTGGGGACCGGGAAATGTATTTTTACATTGCTTATATCCAATCACTTTTGTATTTGTTGATTTAAGCCTGTGGGTCTTTTTTTTTAATCACTATTAATACCAACTTTTATAATCTTTTAAAATAAATCCTCTTAATTTCAGTGTTGATGTCTTCACAGTTGTTCAGTGCAGAGACTTGTTTATAAGCCCTTATTTGAGGGGCAGCCGTCTCCTGTGGGTGTGTGGTTGGTGGAGTCTGGAGGAACAGACCTGCTCCCTGTCTGTGGAGGGCATATTTAAACAGCATGTTTGTCAGCCAGCCAGCACAGGGGGCCTTTAGCGCCAGCACTTGGGGCTGAGGCAGGAGGATCACCGGCTTCAGGCTAACCTGGCCTACAGGGCAATGAAAATGTTCTTAGGACCAGCTGTGGTGGAAGAGATCTCTATAAGTTCAAGGCCATTATGAGTTACAGAGTGAGTTCCAGGTCAGCCACATAAACAAATGAAAACAAAAATATTTTTAGGGCATCATGTGGGATGACTGAATGGCTTTAAATCCCTTTGCCTCCTCTTTCTCCTCTCCTTTCTTCTGTTTTTTTTTGTTTGTTTGTTTTGTTTTGTTGTTATTGTTATTGTTTTTTGAGATAGGGTCTCATGTAGCCCAGGCTGGCTTCAAACCCACTATGGAATGAGAATGACTTTGAACTCCTGATCCTTCTGTCTTCACTTCCCAAATTCTGGTATTATAGATGTGTGCTCCTCCACCTAAGTAATTTAAAAGAAGCAAGTTTGGACTCTGCTTCACATTCTAGATGTGACTCGGTGCTATAGACAGATGTATCTGTGATAACCAGAAAGTGTGAAGCAGAGCAGGGAGGTTCTGCTGAACCCGAAACTATCTGTGGAGTCTGTAGAATGCCTGCCTCCAGTCCCTCGAGAATAACAGGATCTTTATAGTCCTCAGGAACTCACTGGAATTTGTACATTCTTCAGCCTTCTTTGTTCTGTTGATAAATAACACTGTATCAATATGCAGCCAGCTGCGAAGAGCAGAAAACCTATTGCTGTGTCTCCAACAGTAAGGAAAACTTACTTCAGGGTAGGTCTGGGGAAGGTACTATGCCGGGTGGCCTGTGTCTGTAGTCCCTACATGTGTTGTGTGAGGCTGAGGCAGGGGAATCAGGGGTCAGAGGCCAGCCTGGGAAATGCAGTGGCTTCAATAATATCGTCCCAGCTTAACTTGTGTCCTGGGTTTTCTGTCCATCCATTTTCTGCTGTGAGTTTTGTCCTCAGAGTTGAGTCTTTGTGTGATGACCTAGACACCACCTGCATAAGAACTGTCCAAAAGCCGGGCGATGGTGGCGCACGCCTTTAATCCCAGCACAAGGGAGGCAGAGGCAGGCGGATCTCTGTGAGTTCGAGACCAGCCTGGTCTACAGAGCTAGTTCCAGGACAGGCTCCAAAGCCACAGAGAAACCCTGTCTCGAAAAACAAAAACAAACAGAAAAAAAAAAAACAACAAAAAAGAACTGTCCAAAGGTGAGAAGGGGTTGTTGATGCTCCTGCCTCTAGCTGTTCCTTTCCCTTGAACCCTTAGTGGGCTGAGTGGTGGCCATGACTAATGCATTGTGACTACATTAACATAATCCCCCCAGCATGGTGTGAAAAAGCTTAGCTGCCAAAATCGGTCCTGCTAGCGGAGGGAGGGAGGACCATGTTAGAGTGGGGGTGTGCACTGATGAGAAACCGGACCCCCAGTTTACAAAGCACTTGTTAAGGGCTGGGGTTTCTGACCAGCCAGTGTAGCCTGCTCGGTGATCTCCAGGGCAAAGAGAAAAGGTGGACGGGTCCTAAGAAACACTGGTGTCCTCTGGTCTATACACCCACACCCGTGTGCATATATGCATGTTCATACATGTGAACTGCACACTTATGCATGTGTGTGAGCATACATTTGCAGTACTGACTGTTCTAAGAGGTCCATTATTTTTTTTAGGCTAAATTATAATTCTACCAGTAATGTGCATCATAGATTTTTTTTATAAAGATTTATTTAATTTATTTATATGAGTGTTCTATTGACTTTATGCCAGAAGAAGGCAATAGATCCTACTATAGATGGTCGTGAACCACCATATAGGTGCTGGGAATTGAACTCAGGACTTCTGGAGGAGCAGCTAGTGCTCTTAACCATTAAACCATCTCTCTCTCTTTTTTTGAGGCAGGGTCTCATGTATCCCAGGCCTGGAGTGAGCACATTAAGTAGCAGAATTAACTTGAACTTCTCATTCTCCTGCCTCCATCTCCCCAGTGATGGGGTGACATACATGCCATCACCTATGTTCACAATTGCCTGTCACTCTGGTTCCAGGCCATTTAACTTCCTGTTCTGGCCCCTGCAGGCACCATGCATGCGTGTCCACACACATATATGCAAGCAAAACACTCATATACATAAAATAAAAAATCTTTTAAAACTGAGAGATAGGAGAAGGAGCCCCCAGCTGGTGCTGTACACTTAAAATCCCAGGATCTGAGAGGCTGAGACTCGGGGATCATTAAGAGTTCAAGGCCAGCATCCTGTGATACATAGAGTTCCAGGACAGCCTCACTTTGTAGTGAAACCCTATCTTTTTTCTCGAGACAGGGTTTCTGTAGCTCTGGCTGTACTGGGAATTACTATGTAGACCGGGCTGGTCTCAAACTCACAGAGATCCACCTGCTGGCTGAGATGCTATTTTTAAAAAAACGTTAAGTGTATGGGAGAGAAGGTGTGTGGTGTCAGGCTAGTAGGATGAAAAAAATGCATGTTGTGTAATGACAGCTGAATAAGGTCAGCAAGGGTTGCACAGTGGTGTCCCCACTGACAAATGAACTCACGGCTCATGCACCTTCAGAGTGCAATACAGCCACAGTGGAACCAGCGCAAGAAAAACAACTGGAGCGGAGAAGAATGCATAGCGCAATAAAAACAATAAATAAAAAACAAATGAAAAGCAGCTGTGTGGTGATTGGTTCTGGAGATGGGATGGAGGGAAGGGAAAGATGGGTATGAGGCAGAATGTGATGGCTAATTGTGGTTGTCAGCTCCGCTATATCCGGAGTCATCTAAAGCCCCAGTACGTGGGCAAGCCTGTGCCCCAGCCTGTAAGCCACTCAAATAAACCCCGTGTGTGTGTGTGTGTGTGTGTGTGTGTGTGTGTGTGTGTGTTCAGAATCCTAATACAAAGTAGTTATAGTTGGCTGTCTTCTTGATTCTACATAGTAAAAACTAATCTGAAGGAAAGGGGAGGGAGGGAAGAGCGGAATGACCGGGTGGGCCTGGGGTTAGCCTGTGTCTGGAGTTGAGGACTATGACTAATCATAGGAATGCTTCTGAACCTCGGCTACTGCTCGGGTGGGGCCAGAGCGGCAGTGCGTCCCTCTGGCCGCCAGGGGGCGCGCGCTGCACGAGTGGGCGCAAGGCCGTGGCCTCCACCACCCCTGTAGAGTTTCGTTTCTGCAACTGGGATGCAGAGTGCTGCTGGGAGGAGAGGCTGCTGCAAGCATGCACAGCTGCGGCAGGGGACACGGGGTCCCACAAGAGGCCTCCACCCTGCGCAGCTGCGAGAGGAAACAGCTGGCAGCCCTGCGGGCCTTGACCTGTCTTCCCCTACTTTACCCCTGAACTGCCAGGACTCTTGCGCAGTCACTTGCCCGTGGACTAGCCCGTGGCATCTGTCCCCAGACAAGTTTTGTTTGGTCTCAGCTGTATTTCTAGACGGTTTCTTTGGCAATGTTTCCAAATCGGGAGATGCTTAGCTAGAAAGCCCAGATTTCCAATTTTCTGGGTCACTGGGGCAGCTGGCAGCAGTGCGCAACTGGCAGGTGGCAGCCCTGGGCCAGCTGCCACCCCCGGAGCAAAGCGTCCAGCAGGCAGGGTCTGCCGAGGCTTAGAGAACCTTGACTAATTCAGGCAGCGCTCCTCCTCTGGTAGTAGCCGGTTCCTTTTTTTGTGCAAGTGTACGTGGAGAGTATTTTTATTTTTTGCAGTTTTTCTAGACCCATAGGAAGGAACCCACCGGTTGTCCCAGCTTCCCAGGAAGCACTGAGTATTTTCTGATGGCCATCCTTGCCGTCCACCTGGTTCTCAGTGTAAGTCTAGCAACAATCTTTCATTCTGTAGGCTTTTAAGCTTGAAAAAATGTTAAAAAATTTTTTTTTACCTTTTCATTCTTTATTTTCTCACTACGCAGCTCATGTTGGCCTCAAACTTCTCGTCTTCCTGCCTCAGCACCCTGAGTGCAGGAGTTACAGCCCATCTGCCTGCCTAGGGTGCACCTATCCCCACCTGACAGTGATCGAACTTCTGGTCCTCCTGCCTCCACTTCCGCCTTACTAGGATTATAGGCTTGCACCACCAAGTCCCGTTCATGCAGAGGGTTTTTTGCTGGTTGATGAGAACAGAGGGAGGGAGCTGTGGTTCACACTTGTAACCTCAGCATCTGGAACAAGAAGGCGGGAAGATCAGCAGTTCAAGGGCATCCTTGGGTATATACGGAGTTCAAGGCTAGCCTGGGCTATAGAGACCCCATCTCATAATACAAAAAGAAAAAGAGAAGGGCAGAACGCAGGGCTCTGCCTGAAGAGCTGCCTTGTGCAGGGAGGGGCTGCAGATGTGCGTCTGTGCTGGGTTGGTCTGTAGGCACCTGGGAAGGAGCGGAGGATTTCCACAGTCTTGTGTCACCATGGTGCATGGAGGCCAGCATCCCTTAAAGCCTGGACAGGGAGGGGTACCCAAGAAGAGGTTTGCACCACTGATGTTTGCTACCACTGACTTGCCTATGTGAACTGTAAGATGATAATACCACCCTTCTCTTTTGTTAAATTTACTTTTATTTTATGTGTGAGTGTTTGCCTGCATGTTTGTCTGTACCACATTCATGCAGTGTTTGAAGAGGCAAGAGGAAGGCATCGGATTCCCTGGAAGAAACTGGAGCCACCACGAGCATGCTGGGAACGGAACCAGGGCTGCACTGAGCGGTCTCTATGGTCCTAGGTAACACATACTGAGCGGTCTCTATAGTCCTAGG